CACACACACACACACACACACACACACACACACACACACACACACACGTTAAACCACTTAGGCTGACAATGCTCCCCCACAGGAACCATAACTAAAAGAGCCTTCAGTACCTGTCACAAGAAACCTCCTCTTGAATAGCTGCTCAAGGTAGTTCAAGTGAATCCCAAAACAATGTAGGCTGTGGATGTGGTCCTTGGTTGCCTGTGATGAGCTGAGGGTGGGCATCTGTTGCCAGAGGCACAGCATGCTTAGGACACAGGATCTGGATGATTAGAGCTGGATTTGACTTGAAAAGCTTCCTTCCTGCAGTCTAGAAACGGTACTAGGAAATACTGTGCAAGCCACCGAGGGAGGGAAGCAATTATACAGCCTTACTCAGCTTTATTTTAAATGAAAAAAAAAAAAAATCAGGTACAAACAAATATGTGATTTATGCTCTCATTTATTTTTATTAACAGCATTTTGATATATAACCAAGTACAGACAGTAGTCACCATAATGTTGACAATAACTATCTTAAGAAGGGCAAGTTATGGGAGTCTTTCCATACCTTCTGTAATTTGCAATTATTCATATTTTATCTAGTGAAGAGATCCCCATGTTCTAAAGGAGGAGCCACAGACAGGTTGTCTTTGTGCTGTGTTGACTCTGGTCTGTTGTGGATATATTGAGACACTGCTGAGGTCATTCTATGGCCTCCACAGAATAGGGTAGGAAAAGTTCTGTGGAGCATAGAAGTCAGGTCCACAAATGTAGGCGGCTAGTTCCCTGGGTCTTCCTGAATCTAGATCAAAACAAGCTGTCCTTTAGCATCTTGTGGTGGCTTCCATTTGGTGAGTATTATCAGTCACTGGTCACCTTCCTCCGATTCAGAGAAACTACCTTGCTTTATTAAAAACTTCAGAAGAATGTTAACACTTGATTAAGTTGTGCCATGATATATTTGGATGCATAAATGCAATGTTATGATCAAATCAATACATGAGTTCTTCCATTGTCCCGGCCATTTATCATTTGTGTTTTCATATTCAAAATCCTGTCTTATAGCTATTTTGAAATATATGATGTGTTCTAGCTTCCCTGCTGTGCATGGAACACTAGAACTATCCTCTGTGTGTGTGTGTGTGTGTCTGTATGTGTGTCTGTGTGTGAGAGAGAGACAGAGACAGAGACAGAGGGGGATACTGGCGAGGTGACCCAGGATTTTGTGCTTACCATGCTTGCACTCTTCCACAGAGCTATACCCCCACACCATCTGACTGTATTCTCTACCCTCCCTGCCCTCTGCTCTCTGCCCTCTCTCTGGTAATCCCCTCCTCTACCCTCCGCTGCAGTGGGACCAGCTTTGGCATCTGCACAGGAGTGAGAGCGCACAGCATTTGCCTTTCTGTGCCCGGAGGTTAACCTTCTTAATTGTCTTTTCCCTGATAAAATGTCAGCCTAAATTGCTTTGCAAGCTGTTCCTTAAAGGTAAGAGCCTAGCAATATTACTGTTTCCTAAAGACAAGAAACAACTTCCACCTTAGTTAAATTGTAGTTCCCTCGGTACAGGGCAGTGACTGGGGTTACTGAAGAAGTTCTTGCTTTGCATTGGTAATATATTGTGGGTGATTTGGGCTAATAAAGTCAGAATTTCTTTTATAGGCCGAGAGATCCGCTTGCCCCTCCGAATCAGAGGAGAAGGAATGGGGCCCAAGATTCTCTTCAACTTCGAATTACTGGACATTGGCAAAGTTTTCATTGGATCTGCCCACTGTTACGAGGTGGGCCCTGCCATTGCTCACTGAGGCTTCCGACAGTGAGCTCTTTTCTCTGGTTCTTTTGCTATGTTTTTTATTTGATGGAAACTTTGTGCAGGCAGCTTCCTTCTCCATTTTCTGTCTCTGTTCTAACCTCGCTCCTAGCCATGCTAAGTAGAGTGTCTCCTCCCGTTCTCTTATTTCATCAAACGCCAGAACTCTTCAGTGCTGTAATTTAATTGGCTTTATCCTTCTCAATTTGTAGGCCGCAGAGGGAAATAAAAAACCATAAATACAGCTCCCCATCTGTCTAGCGCTTGTTCCGGGGACAACATAAATCCTACGGATCAGAGGAGAGGAGGGCTTTTTGCATTTTCTCCAATGTCCTAATGGGGATAGCTGTTTTCACACTTCAGGATCTCCTCTCAAGCCCCTCTCCCCATCTGTGTTTTAAAAACCAATCATCACACTCCTAAAGGAGAGTGTTGTGCTGTCTTCCCAATTAAGCAGAAACCAGACTTCCAAGACGACCTTACGGTCCTTCAGAGCCGACGACACTCCAGTACACCTCACGGGTCAGCTCATACAGGATAAACTTACACACTGTTGTTACACACCAGTGTATACAGTACACATATATACAAGTGGCTGTCATGGAAACTTGGTTTTAGGGTGCTTCTATACTGTGAATGTCTGTATCTTATTGAGGTAATGCAAGCAATTATTTAAGAAGTGATAAGCAGCTGCCAGGCTCCGGAATTGTGTGTGTGTGTGTGTGTGTGTGTGTGTGTGTGTGTGTGTGTGTTGCAATCCTTGCAGAAGTGCTGGTGCTTTGAATGAATTCATTCACTTGGTCCTTACACAGAGCCATTGGAGCAGGATGGTTGCCCCCCCCCCACGCTTTCTGGCGGAGTGATCCAGGGCTTAGTTAGGCGTCTAGTTAGGTTAACACTAGATAACGTGTGGAGCGAAGGTTCAGCAGATGCCCCCCTGTAGCGGACAGTCTGGTGCCCAGTCTCTCTCCATCTAGGACAGAGATTATAGTCGTGAGAGCAACGAGGGCAGTGTAGAAGAAGATGGCTGCCATAGGTGGTAAGAAACTCAGCCAAATCCCTCAGCCTGAAAATGTTATGAGCACTGGGTCACTGATACCCTCTGTGCTATCGATGAGTAGAAGGTGCTTTACTGCTCTTCCAGTCCTTTGAGTTCTCAGCACCCCATCTCTTCACACCAAGTCAACCCAGCCTACAAGGAGAAATGCCTACATGACACAGGAACAGAGTACTTCAGTTCCCACACTCACTGGGGTAACTGATCTAAATGAGGCAAAGCAAGGGTACACAGATGCTAACGCTGGGACTGATGATATACACAGAAACACAGTCTGAACGATATTAAACTGTGAGAGTACACAGCTAACTTCCGCATTATTTTATGTTGGTTGCTCTTGAGAGTGGAGTCTCTGAGGCAGAGAATGAGTATGATAGTTCTTATTCATCTGCGTTGCTTCTGTAATTTATCCTACATGACTTCTCCTTATACCTTACAGAATGTTCTTTATGGATGCCACATCAGAAAAAGAGATTGAGTTCTGATACAAAGTGGATATGGTTTCTCTACTATGATAATTTTTTTTAGCAATTTAATAGGCATGCCCAGATTCTAACTGCAGAACAAACCCTAGCCAGCCAAAGTGTTCAGTGAGGTGAGGCATCAGATTGGACAGAGTTGAAAAGTGGCAGAGAGGGGCACGGTAAGGTGCTGCTACGGGAAGATTTTGCACTCTCGGCATCCTCAAAGCTGATGCTTCATTGCATCTCCTAATTTATCACATCACCTCTCTGAGAAATTTGAATAACTAGCCACTGACCTTAGTCACTGCTGAGCTCAGCAGATGCATGAGGAAAGAACTATAATCCCAAGAGTGTGCAGTATTCTCTGGAGTAATCCAGAGGGACACAAAAGGGAGGGCAAGTTCTATTACAAGGGACCCCCTCGCCCAAGAGTTGGACCTCAGAGCCGGATCCCAAACTACTGGCTGAATTCAGCATTCATAAATAGATCTGTCAAGAGTAAGAGAATGACATCATAGTCTCTGAGGTAAAGGAACTGAGTCTGGGGAGATGCCTCAGTCAATAAAATGCTTCCTGGGCAAACACGAGGACCTGAATTCATATTCCCTGGAACCCATGTAAAATCCTGGGCGTGGTGACACTTACCAGTAACCCCGGTGCTGGGGAGATGGAGGCAGGAAGATCCCTGGACTGACCAGTTAGTCTTGCTAAGTCAGAGAGCACCAGGTTTAGTCAGAGACTGTCTCAAAGAATAAGGTGGAGAGTCATTGAGGAAGGCACTGGATGTGATCTCTGGCCTCCAAATGCACAGGCACACAGACCTGGTACACACCCACAGGAAAACATACATACTCACAGACACAGACAGACAGACAGACACACACACACACACACAGTAAAGAACTGTCACTGTTGAGAAGACCTGGGAAAGATAGCCCTGTTAACCAAATAACAATAAAAGCAACAAACAGAGGGCTGTGAATGCCTAGAGCTCTGGTCCTCAACCTTCCTGCTGCTGCGACCCTTTAATTTAGTTTCTCAAGTTGTGGTGACCCCCAACCATAAATTTATTTCTGTTGCTACTTCATATCTCTAATTTTGCTACTGTTAGGAATTGTAGTGTAAATATCTGATGGTCTTAGGCGACCCCTGTGAAGGGGTTGTTTGACCCCCAAAGTATCCTAAGCCATAGGTTGAGAACCTTTCCCTTAGATCGTGGCCTTCAGGGTTGTGTATGTAACTAGGATATATTATACATATGTATGAAAAATTTAAAGAATAAATAATTTTTTTTTAAAAATTGCTTTCACAATTACATGAATTCATAAATTTGCTTTCCTAGCAATATGAGAAGTTAAGATGATAGATGGTGAAATTGGGGCATAGAAAAAGCAGGGAGTTTGTCTAAAGTTGCTTCGCTGGGAAGTCAAAGGCAGATCTGGGATTTGAACCCAGGCTCCCGAGTCCTCAGCCATCATCATTTTTTTATGCGGCCTCTCTAAAAGAGAAAAACAAGGAAACATAATTCAGACTACCAGGAACCTTAGGAGAAGGAAGATTGGAAATAAACATAAAAAGATGAGCCAAGAAGCAAACAACCTTATTTATGTTCTTGTTTGGGTGCATTGGTTATCTGCCATTGTCAAAGGTGGCTGTGTCCCTCTGCAGAGCTCAAAGCTTTCTGTCCAGAGCAGCCTGAGTCAGTCCAGTCCAGTCAGAGTCTCGTCTACCTCTAGCCACAGCTGGTCTCCTTGGCCACCGAATGCATTGTTTGTCCTGCCCAAACCATAGATGTCGCATGGTGTGGTAGGGGGTTCCTCTAGGCAGGGCTCTGGGTTCACATAACTATAAATACTCTCCTCCTTTAAACATCTCCCCATCCTCCCGCCATTCCCATCCTCACCTTTGACCACTTATCTCAAAGGAGGACTCCAAGCTAGCTGACCACAGCTCCTCTGCACCTCTCCCTCCTTGGACACTTGTCCTCTGGATTCTGTAACCACACCCGGGTAATCACTCTCTTCTTCAGGGCCAGGGTGACCTCTCATTATGCATAAAACCCTGAACTCTCGTCCTGGAGTTCCTTCTACTGACCTCTGTCCGCATTTGACTTTTATGGGACTCTCTCCTTAGCTTCCAGCATGGTCCATCATTCCTTATCACATCCCTGATGCACCTCACATCTTTCTACTAAATTTCTGGATGTCTTTGGACATTTTTCAGTCTTCACTTAACTTCATCTTCATCGTAGATATGCAAAAACTAGCTATGCCCACCTCCTTCCTTGCTTTATAGAGAATATTTAAGAGTATTCCAAATGCCTTCATCCGTAGATAGATGAACTATGATCAGTCTCTATACACTGTGAGGAGGACAGATAACTAACTCTGATTAACCTCCAGTGTTAACATCCATTAAGTCATGTTCCTGTACATCAAGAGAGGAAGCCAGTCCTCTAAGTATGAAGGCAGAATTGTCAAGGAACAAAGAACACTGTCTTTGCAACCCAAGAATGACTGTGGTGCAGGTTTATGCACACAGATGGCGAGGTATTGGGGTGAGAACACCAAATTAAGGCCAGCTGTGGAGGACCCCACAAGCCAGGCATGAGCTCCCCACATGAACACTTAGAACCTACTGTACAATCAGATAAGGGCACTAGCCTGGTGTTGGGACACTGGCATACAGGAATAAAACGCCTGTAGTAAAATGTCTACATGCATAAGAATCCCCAAATAGCTGCTCATCCAGGAGTATCTGAGATGAGCACATTCCAGGAGGATGAGCTCTCAGAGCGCAGCAGGGAGCACCCTCATCTCCTCGCAGTCTCCAACCTCTATGACAGGCCCAGGCTGAGGCCATTGCTGCTGCGGCGTTCTGATTCGCTCTCTTCTTTTACAGCCTGCACTTACCCTCAGTTTCCTCACACACATGAGAACATTGTCTGCCTTCCAGTGGTTACTTTGTAGACAATATTTAAAAGGCGTCTAAGAGTGTTCTTCACGGGCATGATGATAACCAGCCTTTTAGACTAACTGGCTAACAAAGATTTTTTTTAAATTTTAACTGTGCGTATGTGTGGGTGGGTGGGTGTGCACAGGAGTTCAGGTACTTGTGAGGTCTGGAGAGCTAGAGCCCAGGTAGTCATGGGTTCTTGGAACTGAACTGGGGTTCTCTGCAAGAACGGTATCCACTCTTCTGAGTCATCAATCCAGCCCCAACTAACTCAATTTAAAGAGAGCCCTGCAAGCATAAAACGACCTTCTGACTTCAGAGTCCACTCCTCAGGCATTCAGGACCCGAGGCAGGTCATTTCTCTCAAGAGTTTCCTCTGGTTTCTTAACTCCTGCGTCTTCCCCTGCTGCTGAACAGTACATCATAATATTTACATGAAAACTGACCACAGTGCCCTTGACCTGACCACCTTTGACTTTGCTTGGCACAGGCGATCCTGACCAATAAAGGCAGCATCGATGCCCTCTTCCACGTGATCCCTCCAGTTTCAGCCATGGGGGCCTGCTTTGTCTTCAATCCGAAAGAAGGCATCATTGAACCCGATGGGGTCCAAACTGTCCAGATCTTTTTCAGTTCTACCATCCTGGGGCCCTTAGAAGAAGAGTTCCTGATCGATGTGAATGGCTCCCCCCAGCCCATGAAACTGACCATCAGGTAGGACACCTCTGTAACTAAGGGAGAAACTGACCGGAGTTTTCATTTCTGCTTTCTGGAGCCTCAGAGGGTAGATCATGCCTCGGATGTCCGTAACTGTCAAGTGACAGGGACCCTTCAGCAAGGTGGGGGTGTTCTTAAATGCCCGCCATGTTTCTTTCTGTAATGGGTGCCATTGTCATATGGATACAGATGCTATCTTGACATCTGGTTTTTCCATAAGTTGTAACCTACCAAACGAGGGTTTAAACCACTGGTTCTCAACCTGTGACCCGCGACCCCCTTGAGGGTGGCATGTCAGATGTCCTGCCATTTACACTATGCTTCATACCAGTAGCAATAACGGTACTGAGGCAGCAGTGAAATAATTTCATGGTCAGGGGTCACCACAACGTGAGGAACTGTACTAAAGGGTCACAGCTTCAGGCAGGTTGAGAACCACTGGTTTAAATATTGGCTTCTAGTTATGCCCTGTGGTTTGCCATCCAAGCACTAACCAGGCCAGACCTTTCTGGGCTTCCAAGATCGGATGAGACCGGTCGTGTCCACGGTGGTATTGTGTGCGCTGCACCCTGTGTTTTGAAGCTGTTTGGAGAAAATGAGTTCTCGCAGTGACCCCCAAATCAACCTGCCTTCTTGACCACAGCTTCGTCTAGTCTCAGTGTCCCTGAACCTTTGTCATCCATTTTTGATCATATGGAAATTCTGTCAACAACCTTGTTTATAATGCCCTCAAACCCTGTAAAAGTGGCCACTTGTTAGTCCTTTGGCCAAGGCTTAGACACTTTCATGATAGAAGTCTTTAGGGCTTTTCCAGCTGTTCGTGGTAAGTGATAGTCATGGGTTTGTGACATTTGCTGCTGTTGTCCCAGGCAGTGCCTGATAACTAATGGTTGTCCCTGATAGCCTGTGTGGACACTCAGCCCATCACACTTAGGATTTTCTTCAAGTGTCAAGGCTTATCTGAAACACGCTGGAGACATTTATACTCTCTCCCTCAATCATTCATGTTTGTTATAATATTAAAAATCAGTTTAGGTATGGTGTTCCACGCCTGTCATCCCAGCACTTGGGAGGCAGAGGCAGGAGGTTTAGGAGTTCAAGATCATCTTTAGCTACGTGGCAGCTCTGAGGTCAACCTGGGCTACGTGAGACCCTATGTTTAAAAAAAAAAATGTTAACAATTAGAGTTGTTTCCCAAATATTTGAAAGCACAGACTCCTCCAAGAGGAGCAGCATATGTGCACATCCTTCAGGCATTTGCACCACATGAAAAGGATGGGGTACACCTTCCCTCAGCATGAACACCAGCCCATTTATGCCCGTAACAACTCACAGCCCATGGCAAGCTGTCCATCTGGTCCCTTGAGGCTTCTTTGTCATCTCCATCAGATCAACTCTTAAGCTTTTAAGTCAAACTTTCTGACTTCTTGATATCAAAATGGATTGCCAAGTCATACCCCTACAACATCCAGAAATCAACATGTCACAAAAAAAAAAAAACAAACAAACCAATGTGGTGAATATTTAAATGTTTAAACAGAATGCTTAAGATGAATGATACTCTTTGTATAGATATGGACACAATAATAGAGATACAATAATTCTTAAAAATAAACCACTAAGCCAGCTTATGAAAAAAATTAAATACGAGGATCAGATGGATTTTACCCCAGAAATTCAAGGCTGGATCAGGCATGAAAATCAGTCAGTATGATGCAGCATTAATGGATATCAGCAAAATAAAAGAAAAATCCAAATGGTTATCTCACTAAAAACAAAAAGCCGTTTTCCAAAATCCACCAGTCTTTCATGATATAAAAAGGAGAAGAGCTCAAAAGCTTAATAATAATGAAATTTCCTCAGCATAAATCAGAGACTGAAATTTAGGAGCCAACGCTATGAGACTGTTCAAAGTGAGCATACATAAATATGCATGATTTTAGATTAGACAGTGGTTTCTCAGATAAGACACCCAAGCACAAAGCAAGCAAAGACAAATAAATAAATTAGACTTCATCAAAATGTAAAAAGATTTGTGCTTCCAAGTACACAATCAAACCAAGTGGGAGATTGTATTTGTAATTCACATATCTAATAAGGGACTTATAACTAATATATGCAGTTACAACACAGTAAGAAAAAGATTAATAACAAAATTTAGAACTACATAAAGCTCTTAAGACACCAATCTCAAAGAGATATAGGTATGAGCAGTAGCATGATTAGGGAAATGTATAACAAGAAAATCCGCCTCACCATTGTGCCGTTGGCCACAGGAAACAAAATGGAAAAAGAGCGCTGGTGAGAATTTGGAGGAAATAGAGCATGAATACATTGATGATGGTATGACTGTTAGTGTTGACTGTCAACTTAGCAGGGTCTGGAGTTACCTGGGAGACTTGTTTGTGGTGGAATTTCTAGATTTGATTGCATCATTCGGGTGAGAGGACCCACGATAACTGTGGGCGTCACAGGTCCACGGCCTGGGTCTCAGGCTGAGTAAGGAGATCCCTGACTGCAGGTGTGATGTGACCAGAGGCCCCACACTCTGGACTGCGCCCTCGAACTGTTACCCCAAACCCTTCCCTTCTCAAGTTGCCTTTCCTACAGGCATTGTATCACAGCACTGGGAAAAATAATGAATTACAGATGGGGATGTAAGACATTGTAACCAGGATCAATAGTAGTCTTGTCCCTAGCTCAGACAAATGAACACTGACCCAACAACTCTATTACAGAGGATATACTCAGAAAAATGAAGGCATCTGTCCATGTAAATGAAGGCATATGTCCATACATAAACTTGTACATAAATTTGTAACATCACTATTCATATTAGGCAAAGATAAGCAAAATATCATACATCTGTTCATGAAATGTTATCAGCCACAAAACGGAGTGAAAAAAGAAAGAAGCGTGGTTAATAAAATGTAACTAATAGTAAAAATAAGTAAATAATTAAATAAAAAGAAAAAAGCATGGATATATACCATGACATGGCACAACAGATAATCCTTAAAACAGCCCAACAAGCGAAAGAAGCCAGTCGCACGCATGGGCATGCACACACAACATGATTCCAGTGATATGAAATGTTGAAAATAAGCAAAGCTATGCAAACCAGTAGTTTGAGGATAGCAAATGACAGAAGGTGACAGCTAAAGAACATGGGTTTCTTTTTGAGTTACTGAAAATGTTCTCTAATTGTGCTCGCCACAATTAAATATCCAAATGCTATCGATTTGTACACTTCAAATGAAAATGTCTGAGAGCCTATAATATCAAATGTCATTTCCTGGGTATATTTTTAAAATGTGTTTGAATGCCTGTAGTGAGCTTGCAGAGACCAGAAGAGGATTCCAGATCCTCTGGAGCTGGAGTTACAGGCACTGTGAGCTGCTCAACATGGGTGCTGGGAACTGAACCAGGTTCTCTGCAAGAGCAGCAAGTGCCCTCAACCACAGGGCCCACACTGATAGATTATTTTTTAAATGCCTAATCTCTTCTCAATACCATAAAGTAGAAGTTCATGTCACCAACAGTGAATGGACAGTTAAGGTGACCTGAGGGTTTCTACTGTGTGTAATTTGTTCTAATATTCTCATAAGCCAACTTGGACCCAAACCCTGGTTGCTCTCCAGGGGTTAAATCTGTCTATCTCTCTGCCTTTTGGACCATTTTCCCTAAGTCTCAATGCTTCCCCCCCCCCCCATCTTTTTAAATGTTTATTCTGCTTTCTCTCGGTGAAAAGAAAAAGTCATCTGTGGAAAAAATGCTTGGGGCTTTATCCCTAAACAAATTACCAATTACTGAGAGAGAGAAAAAAACCTACATAGACTCCCTTCCCCATTTCACTTCCTCTCAAACTCATCATTGCATGTATTCAAAAGTATTCTAGCACTTCAAACAAAGCACAGTGATTCAGAAAACCCGTGAGCCACTGGTATCACAAGGAAATGTCTAGTTTTATGAAAATAATATACAGCAGATCATGTTTCCAGCCCTGCATTGTTATTACTATGATTTCACTCATTAGTTTGAGAAAATAAAACTTTTCTTGGGCTATACGTTTCAAGAAATGCCTGTGGATTTAGTAGTGTGAATTCTAGAATTTTGTTTTCTGTTCTTTTATCGTCAGGTGCCCTGGCTAGGACTCCAGATATTTTGGGCTAGTATACTGTGGTGGTTTGAATAGGTGTGGCCCCTATAGACTTGAGTTTGAGTGCTTGGCCCATGGGAAATGGCACTATTAGGAAGTGTGGCTTTGTTGGAGGAAGCATATATAAATGCTCAAACTACATCCAATGTTGAGACGGTCTCCTGTCTGCTGCCTGTGGATCAAGGTGCTGCACATGTCTGCCTAAAACCTCTAAAGCTGTAAGCCAGCCCCAGTTAAAGGTTGTTTTCCTTTACAAGAGCTGCCAGGGTCATGACGCCTCTTCACAGCAGTAAGAGAACCAATACCTGTTTGCTGTGCCTAATGATCTTCTAATTGTATGACACAATATTCTAAGTGAGTAAATAAGTGACGTCATGAAATTAATGTGGTTTTAAAACATACCCAAATGAACAATTCCGGTCTCTCTCTCTCTTGGCATTTGTAATTTTATGAAGTTTAACTGTTACAGAGATGTGTTTGGTATTCAAACTGTCTCACTTAACTTGTCATGCCACAGTCGGTCTGAATCTTTGAGCCTATCACGTCAGCAGGCTGTCACATTGCTGGACGGCTGGGTCTTGGAGAATATCCTGTTGGAATTCAGGTGACCATGTCCAAGTCCAGGCGGCATCATTTAGTCTCAGTGACCAGAGCCTTTGATTGCTTGTGATTTGTCTCTGGGTTTGTCAACTTCTGCTCTGATTATCTGATGACTTTATGCAGTTTCCTCTGCTCTTTTCCTACTTTCTTTTACCCCTGTTCATTTTATATATTTTTTTTATCTACTCTTCACTCTGACCCCCAAAAGTATCTTTTCCAACTCAACTGCATAAGCAGTGAGCTTCTTTGGCTTCATCTCAGTTGGATCCTAACATACTGCTGAGCACCAGACAAGCTTTTGCAAATCACTTCAGATCATCAGCGTGAGAACTTGCGACCTGCCACTGTGAGTCTTGGTCACTCCTCCAGGCTTGCTGTAGCCTCTCAGCACATTAGAGCCACTCCTCCAGCAGCCAGCGGGTTACCATGGCACCGATGTGCTGCATGTGGCAAACGGGTAGCTGTGTGTCTCTAACATTTAGAGCTTTGCCACGTGTTTGGAGATTGTTCAGCCCTTACCTTTGCTGTAGGCATTTTCAAAGATATTGATTGTGGAGAACAATGACCATTGCTTAAGCAGTAAACAGAATACCTGCCATATAAGCTTTCTTTAAAACAATATAGATTTATTATTTTAGAGATCTTGATTAGAATATCAACACTTGTCTTAGTTGAGCTAAGATTTAGGAAATGGTAGAATGATGGATCTTTCTGGAAGCCCCAGGAGAGCATCTACTTCCCAAGATTTTGGAGCTTCATAAGACTATTCATTCTCTTTGACAGATGTTGATAGTAGCACTAATCTATGGGCATAACTATTTAGAAAGTAGTTTGGTGACACCTCTCTTTAGTAAAACAACAGTAACTGTTTCCCACCTAAAGTCTACAACCTCTCCAGCCATGGTGGAATTATCTCCTGTGGAAGTAGCCTAAAAGCCAACCACAACCTGGTTGGTTACCTCCATAGTAATCATGACACTATTGTACCACTGAGTACATCTTGCTTGTCAGGTTAGTATTAAAGTGTACAGGGATCACTGCTGAGTAAGACCACTGATAATTTTTCTTCCCAGTGGACTGTATAGCACTTTCTAACACCATGAAAGCTATCCCACAGGGAAGATGTTTCCAAAGACCCAATATACATTTTATTTCTTTTTAACTATTTATTTTATCTTTATTTATGTGTGTATGTGACAGAGGGCACATGTTCACATGAGTACAGGTGTCCAGATGTCAAAAGAAGGCATCAAATTCCCTAAATCTGAAGTTATAGACAGTGTGTGCCCAGAGCTAGATTCCAGTCTTCTGAAAGAGCAGTACATGCTCTCAACCGCAGGGCATGAGGGAAGAGCAGAGGAAGCTGCATAAAGTCATCTTTTAATCAGAGCAGAAGTTGACAAACCCAGAGATAAATCACAGGCAATCAAATTTTTGTTCTTGATGAGCTGATTTTCTTACAGAGTATCTGATTCATCCAAATTAACCACATTGTGTAGCATGAGTCTGGTGATCTGGCTGCCTTTTCACTGGTCACTGGTAGGAACAAGTTTATATGATAACCACACTGTCATTTCCTAAAACTTAGCGTTTGAGACCTGAAAACTTTTTTGTGTATTGAGTGGTATGCATGTGCATGTGTCCATTTTCATATGTGTGTGGGTACACATGTCTGTGGAGGCCCAATGTGGTATCAGGTGTCTTCTCCCGCTCTGCTTTAGTTGATGAGGCAGGGTCTCTCACTGAAGCTAAAGCTCACCAATTCTGGTTAATCCAGCTAAACATCATGCCCGAGGGACTTTCTCTCTCCACCTCCTATTACAAGTGACCACCACGCTGGCCCAGATTTTGCATAGGCTCTAAGGATCCATACTCTCATGCAAACTCTTGCACACAGGTGCTGTGCCCACCGGAGATATACCACACACACACTGAAAAATGATTGCAGTGGCCACCATAATGGCCTGTTGTATCATGGCTTCTTAGATTCTGTCGTTGACTTCATGTCGAGGTTTGTTTTTTTCCTTTCTGGATTTTATCGTTGCCTTGACTTGCTGGATTCATTCCCTGTTTTCCCAATTTGTGTTTTGACTTTCAGAGGCTGTGTCATTGGACCGACATTCCATTTTAATGTCCCCGCTCTGCACTTTGGTGATGTTTCCTATGGTGAGTAACTGTATTCTTTTATGTTGTGTGTGTGTGTGTGTGTGTGTGTGTGTGTGTACACGTGGAATCTGGAAGATAGTCTTGAATGTCATCCTCAGAAATGCAATTTGCCTCCTTGAGACGATTTCTTCCATTGGCCTGGTGCTCACCAATAGTCTAGGCTAGCTGGCCGGTGAGTCCCAGTGTGGTGGTTTGAATAGGAATGGCTCCATAGACTGATGTGTTTGAATGCTTCGTCCACAGGGCACGGCACTGTTAGGGGATGTGGCCACGTTGGTGTAGATGTGGCTCAGTTGGAGGAAGTGTGTCACTAGCGGGTGGGCTTTGAGGTTTAAGAAGCTCAAGCCAGGTCTAGCAGTTCACTGTCTCATCCTGCTGTCCTGGATCCAGACGTGGAATCCTCAGCTCCTTCTCCAACACTGTGTCTGCCTGCCTGCTGCCATGCTTCCTACCATGATGATAATGGACTAAACCTCTGAACTGTAAGCCAGCCCCGATTAAATGTTTTTCTTTCTAATAGTTGCTGTGGTCATGCTGTCTTTTCACCACAATAAAACTCTGAGACACTCAGAGATCCTCCTGACTCTGCCTCCCCAGTACTGGGATTACAAGCACACACCACCACACCTGTCTTATGTAAGTGCCAGGAATCACACTTAGGTCCTCATGCTTGCAAAGTGTTCTGGCTAGTTTCATGTCAACTTGACACAGGCTAAGGTCATCTTGGAAGAGGGAATTTCAATTGGGAAAATGCCCCCATCAAATTAAATTGGCCTATCGGCAAGCCTGTGGGGCATTTTTCTTGTTCAATTATTGGCATGGGAGGGTCCAATGGAGCCATCCCTGGGCAAATGCTCATGTGTTGTATAGAAGAGCAGACTGAGGAGCTGTAAAGAGCAAACCAGAAAGGAGCATCCATGGTGGACTGTTACCTGGAAGTGTCAGTCAAATAAACCCTTTTTCTCCACACGTTGCTTTCAGTCATGGTGTTGGTCACAATTGAATGCAAACTAAGGCAACAAGTAAGCCATTCTCCCATTTTAAATTTAGAAACTGGATAGAAAAAATTTGGTCTCTACCCAGGAGTAGCAAGGTTTACAAAGCATACCGCCTACCATTTTTAATAGCTAGTTAAGAGGATGTCTTCCTCTATGGCAGGGTCACTTTGGCACCGTCTCTACCTCCTAGGTGAAGTAGTAACTAGGCCCTGGGCACTCAGAGCTGTCAAGCTATGGATACCGCCCCTTTTCAGCAGTGACAGAGTAACCTTGGGCACCAGTCCACTCTCTTGTGCTCTTTGTATTTGGAATCTGGAGGAGAGATGGTGCTGGTCATTCTGTTTTACTTTCTTGCAGTGCTGGGTATCAAACCCAGGGCCTTGTGCGTGCCAGGCAAGTGAACTATCAGTGAACAAAAGTCCCAGATCTGCACTGTATCTAAATGAAAAAAGTCTTATTCTGTCCATCGGGCTGCACAGCAGCCTCCTTAGAGAGATGCTTTGAAGTTTATGGTGAGGCCAGTGTGGTTTGACTCCAGAGCATTGGTGCTCCAGGTCAAAGGAGGTTCTGTCTGTCTGTGTCGTCGTCTCACTTGGTGTGTGCCCTGTGACGTTTCTTCCAGTCTGTAACAGAAGCAGTAGCAGCAGCAGCAACAATTGTGTCTCCCTTGCTTGTTTCTTGTGTTTTTTTCACCGCTGAGTGCATGGTGTGCAGTGTTGTGCTTGAACCTAAAATTTCTTCACAGAGATATAGTCACTGTCTTAAATTTAGACTCAAAATTGAAGCCTTGAGACTGGTAAATGATCTGCCAAGGTCACACAGTATTAACGGAATTGCTATTTGTTTTAAAAGCTGCTTCCAACCAGGATGTTGCCCCAGTGAGACAAAATTTGGTTTTTGGCTGATTTACAAAAAGAAAAGAAAGAAAGAAACCTGGGCACAGTGGCGCATGCCTGTAATTCCATCAGTAGGGGATGCAGAGGCAGGTGGATCTCTGTGAGTTTGAGGCAGCCTGGTCTGCAAAGCAAGTCCAGGGCAGCCAAAGCTACACAGAGAAACCCTGTCTTGAAAAAGGAAAAGAAAAAAGAAAGACATTTATGATAAATATTTATGATTTTCTGATGTCCAATCCTATGTAACCAAATCCTACCAAATCCTTGTTTCTGTGTGGTCTTGTGATTTATACCTGTTTCTTTAAGAGGTCTTGTGGGTAAAGATTCTGCACAGTGGCAGAGTACTTGCTTAGCATGTTCAAGGCCCTGAATCCTAGTTCTAGCAACAGAGATACAGACAAATAGACAGAGCATGCAGACAGATATCTTTATTCAGATTTTTTAAAATGTTGAGTGTAAGGGTGTTTGCCTACATTTATATAAGCAGGCCATGTGCATGCACTGCCCAGTGGAGGCCAGAAGAGGGTGTCAGATTCCCTAAAAGGACTTACAGGCGGTTATGAGCCACCATGTAGGTTCTGGGAACCAAACCTGGGTCCTCTGCAAAAGTAGTCAGTGCTCTTAACCACTAAGCCATCTTAGCCCCAAGAAATTAGAAAGAGCTTCTTAATGGGCTTTTTGGGGTTAGATAAAAATATAAATGTTGAAGGAGAATGAAATCTTTTGAGAATGGTCTCCTTTAAACCAACCTTTGAGTACAGGAAAAAAATATGAGTTTCCTCTGTGAATCCCTGTTATGTCCAATCATGTTGTTAATTATCCTAAGACTTATTTACAGATGCTAACTGGAATGAATACAGATGTTGAGAACTACAGAATATTTTCATTCCAGTAGAACTATGGATAAAACTGACTGCAGATGGAATGGGGGGCCAGAAGCCTAGGCATAGCATTCTTGCTAATAACCATCCAGTCTTTAATAAACCAACAACCCCTCCCCCTTAGGCTCTGTGAAGAATGCAGGGTACCATGGACACTAGAGGACCTGTCATGGCTAATTTTAATGAGTTTGTCCTGTGAAAAACTTCTGGCTAAGTGAATTGGTGTCAGTTGTCATTCGGAGGACCATGGTGACTATGGAAACCACGTCTCATAATACCCTACATTAGTAGATCCTTTAACTCATTGTATAGCTTTCAGAGTCATGTTTAGGCAAGATCCGGAGAGTCCAATATAGCAAATATGTGATTGCAAAGATGACTTTCCATCACTTTTTCTTGGACTCCTAAGAGAAGACAGTTTCAGGCAGAAAAGTGGAGGCTGTGTCTAGAAGAAGTAAGCATGTACATTATCCTGTGGTTACTCTTGGTGTAAAAGTGATAGCAAACATACCAGTCCCCCGGAAGTCTATTTATTGCTTCCCTGCAAAGGAGACCTGCATCTCTCACGAAAGGAGTGTAAGTCTCACCAAGTAGCAGGCAGTGGGGCCGAATCTAACCTGGCAGAGCCGGGGGCGGGGGGTGAGCTAGTGTGAGTCCTTGGCTGGCCCTAACTCAGATCAAGTCTTTCCCGGGAGAGGTGATTATTGCACGCCGTGTCAGCAGCCCTGAGAGCAGGGTTCTCAGAAAGGACCCACACAATGGTGTCACCTCTAGGTGAGTTCTAGATCAAACGGCAAACAAAAATACATAGGCTTCTCCTTTCACACATTGGCAAGTAGGAATGAGTATGAGGCTCTTTTTTTTTTTTTAAATCTGCATTTTGCAGAGACCGAAGGCAAAATACACTTCTACAAGACAACTCAAAAATAACAGTAGAGGCTGCCTCTTTAGAGGGGCCTGGGTGGCAGTCAAGGGCCTTGTTTTGTATTACTGTTTAACCTCATGACTAAATGCATGATAAATATTCTTTGGTCAATTAATGAATGAATGAAATGTACTTATTGATTGCATGACTGATGACTTAAGGAGATCACAGGGAACGAAGATGAGCAAAGGCAATGACATACATTCGTGAAGGCAAAGATGCCAAAATGAAGCCTGTTACTTTGTATGTACATTAAAAGGATTTTTAAAGAGGGCCTAGGGGTGTGGCTGAGTCAGTGGCGTGCTGTGAGAGCACGGGAACCTGAATTGATCTCCCGGAATGTGGGTCTGGATGCAGAATGAGAGCCATCTGGACGCAGCAGAGCATACTTATAAGGCCGACCCTGGGGAGGAGGAGACAGGAGAATCCTTGAGCTCTGCTGGACAGCCAGACTAACCAAACCCGAAAACTGCAGGCTCAGTGAGAGACCCTGTATCAAAAAATAAAGTGGATAAGAGGGAGACACCTGACATTGACCTCTGACCTCCACCTATACCCTCTACATATACATCAGACATGCATACATAACATACATACTTAGGACAAGTTAGAAAGTAGTGAGGCATGGTGATGAATTACAGACAACATGCTAGGCCATTGCTAGGGGAGGTTGATTGGCTACGGGAGGCTATTGGGAGAAGGGAATTCTCACCTCATGTTTTGTTTTTTCCAGGATTTCCCCACACTTTGATGTGTTCCCTCAATAATACATCTTTGGTCCCCATGACCTTCAATCTGCGTGTCCGTGGGGATGGCGAGGGCTTGCAAAGCATCCCAAGTTACCCTCAGGAGTCAGACAGCAAAAAATGGCCTTGGGTTAATAAAGAGACACCCACAATAAAACCAAAAGAGTTCACCATCACCCCCAGCAGTGGCACCATCCGTGCCCAGGGCTTTGCTGCCATCAAGGTAAAGTGCACACAGCTAAACACCCACCTTTCAGATAGACACTGATAACTTCACCGAGGGTTCTCTATGCAATGACAGTGAGAGGGAGTGCCAGGGGAACCACATGCAAAACTGGGCCTGCAGGAAACAATCCTCTGAGACTATGGAACCAGACATATAGGTGGAGCAAAGAAATTCACGCTGCTCACAGCTAAGGTCAGAGCCTGTGCTTATTGAAGCCTGGATCGCTAGAACTGCAAAGTACTCTGACCAATTTTGGGAACTGTATAAGATCTTTTTCCAGAAGAAAGCAGTATCAGGCAACAGTCTTCTCTCTCTCCAGCTTGAGATTTCCCAGGGTTGTAGGGGAAAGGGATTTCAGTTTCTTGGAACCATTGTTTCAATAGTCTAATGACCAAAAGAAGGACTCCTTAGAATAACCTTGTTCCCACCAGACCAGTTACACCCTGTTTGACTTACATGATTGTAGAGCCAGGGCCTTCACAGGAACTGTGGCTTCCAGCCATTTCTAGTGCAATCTCTGTTCCATACAGACTATGTACCCACTGGCTCTAGTAGAAGAGGGAAGGAGAACTCAGGGTCTGGCTTCAGATTCAGGGCCTCAAAAACCATGAACAACCAGGTTTATGCCAAGCGGACAGCCAGGTTGTTCAGGTTTGCAGTATCTGGATCCTGGCAAATGTCGGGGCAACAATTCTTTTCATTAGATCTTTGTAGTTAAATGCACAGGAAGAGGGATGTGAAGGCTGTGCAGCACCCTGCTGTCACCCTAGGACTGTGCTAGCCTTAGCAACCAGCCTTAGGGTACCAGCAGCAGGATTGTTTCATAGTTAACTGAAAAGGGTGTCAGCTGTCTCCCTTCGCCTTCGCTTCTCCAGACACTGGGATCTTGCATCATGGAAGGCTGCTAAGCTGAAGCTATGATTTCTGGGAAAGAAAGACTTCAGAGCTAAGGTGGCTAATTCTTTAGATGTTATCATTGAATATTTAACCCAGGCACTGTTTCATCCCCAGATTTGTTTTAGATGCTTTTCAATATCTCACCTCAAATCTACTCATCTTAACACCTTTTTCCTGGGAACTTTCAGCCCTTCCGTGGGCTTCTCTGGGAGTCTAAGAGATTTGCTATGTCATTACATTCTCTGGAGACTGCTAACTGACATTTACTGGTTAGGAGCTCAGCCGCAGTGGATTTATTTTTCACTTGCTGCTCAGCCTCCATGTGATCTATCTTTTCCTTTTGCCTCTGGAGATAGCAAAGGAATATGTGAAGACAGTGCCTTCTCTCCAGCCTTCTGCCAGACCCCCTCGGCTCTCTTCCTACCAACCTCAGTCCCAGGACATAAGCAAAGGGCTCCACTCACGCTTTTCTCTGAGCCAGGCAAATTTTCTTTCCAAACCAATGCCCTCCTTCTTTTTATTTTTTTGTGGATATTTGGCAAAAACACTCTCTGAGCTTCATCTCTCCCTCCTGATCTGCGCTTCAGCCAGGTCTGTGTGGACTCAAATTTGCATGCGGCAATTCCCTCTGTAACCAAAAAGATTTTAATTAGTACCTGATACATAATTTATAGACAGAAAACCCTCAGCCCATGCCAGAATCTGTTTTCCAGACTAACAAGTATCCCTTCCAGTAGAAATCATTTTGAAGCAATTAAAAGTTGTAACGAGGCTTTCAGAAGGTCTAAACGCAAAGTTTCACAGTAGCAAATATAAACACAGGCTAGAATGTTCTGGGGAGAGACTGTCCTCATGTGGGCCTGGCTTTGGACCTTTCTCTTTTCTGCTCTAATAATGAAAACGGAAAGGGGAGGCATGTTTTTAGTTTGAGAAACTGATTTCCCCAGCCAGTTTCTGAAATATACACAGTTATTTTCATTTCCCTTTGATGTAAGAAAAAAAAAATCACTGTACTGTTTACCGAGTTCTATTGAGGTTTTGTCGTTTAGATGGCCCCCTGTAGTGTAGGGAACGCCCTAAACTGCAATAGTTAAAGTCTGTTTGATATGTTAGATGTTTCTCACCGTCTGTGGTCATTTCCCCCTTGTGTAGGCACATAGTCACCTCAGAAATGAGCCAGCCTATTGTGCTAACAACACTGGCTTTCTAACCCCGTCTTTGAAAGCACCCACCAAGCCCTGACCCCACAGTGTAAAGCACCATCCATCTAACGAAGCATGACACTTAGAAACTGTGCTGACTCGAGCATCCCGGCCCATGGCTCCCCGCTTCCTGGTGCAGACAGCTAGCCTTTCAGAACCGCAGCTTGTCACCCTTTCCTCCCCAGGTGACCCTGTGCTCCAACACCGTGCAGAAGTATGAGCTGGCGCTTGTGGTGGATGTGGAGGGCGTCGGAGAAGAAGTGCTGGCACTCCTGATCACCGCCAGGTAGCATGTGCCTGTCCCTCTCTGCCAGCGCTCGCCCCGCTGCCCCGGGTCCAGTGTTGGGCTGCCTCCCACAAGGCAATTAGCCTGACAAACACGGCATGCTGGATCCCTCTTGCCTTCCTGCGGTAGGAAATGGAATCTGGGGTGCAGAGGGCAAAGCTGTGAAGCAGAGATTGTTTGTGAAGGACCTTTGGTGGAAACACCAAAGGACCAACAGGCTTTCTGTGTGTGGCGTATTGTCCTCTGTTGAGTCTTTCAAAGTGTATAACTGAACGGGATTAGCAGGGAGGTAATGAGCTGCTAAATTTTATTTTCAGTTTTTAATGTGATACGCCAAGGTCATATAGAAGAAGGTGCTATTGCCCGTCTCTAATAATATAAAGTTATCATCTTCAATCTGCATGTATGCACACATACAAGTATGTGTCTGTGTGTTATACATGTATATTTGTGCAGCGGAGTGTGGGGACGCGCTCACGTAGAGGCCAGAGACTGATCTTGTGTGTCTTCCTCAATCACTCCACCTTATTTCTGAGAGGAGGCCTCTCACTGGACAGGGAGCTCACCGCTTTACCTAGACTAGCTGGCCACGGAGCATCCGGGATCCACTCACCTCTGCTCCACCACTAGCAGCTTTTACACGAGTACAGCACGTCCTAACTCAGCTCCTCGTGCTTATGCTGCAAGCACTTTATCCATGGCTCCATCTCCCGGTACCCAGCTTCTCTCTCTGCTTCAACGAGTCAGTAAGGATTTCTGAAGCCTGGTCTAATCAGGGCTACACCCTCTCCACAGTAAACAGGCTTCAGACCTGCAGAGACAAACCCTGTGGACAGAGAGAAAGGTAGCAGAACTAATATATCCATATCTGAGATTTGGGTCTTATGAACCTTAGGAAGACACACCTTAAAGAAGGTGCACACGTGCTACGTGCTGAATGGTGGCCTCTGTGTGTGCTGGAAGCTTGAATGAAGACAACTATCACCCCGGAAGGAACTAGAACTCCTGCTGCCTCGATCTACTTAAATGTCATTACAGTCTGACTTTTTTGTCTGTTTGTTTCACGGAAAACCCCTTTGGTCCAGCCTGCACCATTCTGAGGTCATTTCTGATGCTTTGCAGCCTCCTATCCCTGCAGCTATTCTGAATTGTAAATAACAACAATAATAATGCCTCCTAAAGGGACTATGAATTTCCTGCTAAGGTTGGCTCTGACCCGTGTAAAATATAATAAACCCTCTTGGCCACACGGGCTCAGGAAACAAATGAATGGTTTTGAGGAAGTCATTGGGTCAGCTGACAGCATCTATGCTAGCTAAAAATGAGCACTCATCCCTCCTCAGAAACAGACTTCAGGGTAAAGAGAGACCCTTTTATGTTCTCACCTCCCGCGTCATCTGCAGGAGCCGCTGGCTGGCTCTCAACAAAACATCTTCTCTTAGAACTTGAACCCCACGGTACCCCTCAGAGAGCCAGCAGTGACTCTTGCCATGCCCTCGCTCCAGGATCATCCCCTCTTGCTGTGCATTACACTTGCATGGATTCCTCCACACCCCCCAAGAGTCACTGCCCCACTGAATAACGCCATCCGATCTCCAGGATGACTCTCCTTTTACTCCCTAAGGGAGTGAGATGTGAGACAGAAGGCAGGTGACTCAAGGTCACATAGGTTGGACTTTGTAAGGTCAGCTTGGTGTAACTCAGAAGCAGTCCTCTTCATCTTTGTGCCTCACATAAGAACAGTGACATAGGGCCGAGAAGACACTGAGAGCTACAGACACAAAATAAAACCCAAGTCCCCGAGTGATGGAACAATGACAACACAGGCCTACACTCATGGAGCACTGATGCGGCTCTGGTCCTTGGCTGAGCTGCAGGAGACAGCTTCTCTGCATGGGACTGAGATTTCCTATGATGCAAGCTTTGCTAGTCCTTGGAGGCTTTCTAACCCATCCAAGTGTCACAGCTGCTTAAGACTCCCTATAGTTGCCATTGGCCCTATTTGGCACAGACACAGGCCCACCAAGGCCCACTACCCCCAAGGAACTTAGCTGTGGGGCCCTTCACAAGGGAGGAGCACAGCAGAAAATCAATGGGAAGGGTTGTCACTACCCGGCAAAGGCGGCTATTTAAGGAGGACTACCTCTAGTTCTTTTCTGATTAACTAATGGGAAGTCGGGGCCGAAAGAGAGAAAGAGCAGGACAGAGGAGCTGAAACGGGTGCTTGTCCCCTATGGTGCCCCTATCACCATTATTAGAGAAAAACTGCCGTATGATAGTGACAGCTGCATCTAGCTTAGGACTCTGCCTTTTTGGATGTAACAAGCTCTCCATTTTGAATTGTTGAATGGCCTCCTTCGAGCAGGTGTATCGTACCTACCCTCCAGCTGGTTACTGAAGAGATGAACTTTGGCCGCTGCTTCCTGAAGTACCCGTATGAGAAGCACATCCAGCTCATCAATCATGATGACCTTCCTGGATGCTATAAGGTCCTGCCTCAGGTGAGTGAGTTTGCCCTTCTTCAGTGCTGAACTTTCTTCCAGCGCCCTCCCTCCGTGAGAAAGAGGCATCCTCCTGAGCAGCCACAGTCCTGAGCACATGACTGCCCGCACTTCTGATTTTTAACATAGATGAGTTGGGTGCCGGGTTAGGGAGAGCCACAGCTGGATTGCTGTCTGTGTGAACGAGCAGCTGCAGGTGTGAACTGTTGTTAATTTCCCCGGGAAATTGTCCGTGATAAAGAAGGGAACGTGTCAATTAAGCCAACGTGTAGAAGTGCACCTGCAAATAATTGCCGGTGAATTAACCAAGCTTGGGAAACGAGCTGGGAGATTTCATTTGTGCTCATGGCCAGGGTTGAACAGCACCACCCAGATACGGCAATGAAATGTTTATAAACCGGTGCTCTGGACCAGAAAGCTAGAGGTTACACAGGAAGGGAGACTGTGCCTTAATTCCTATTAAATAGACCCTTCCACACCCTCCTACACCTGGCTATGTGGAGGACCAAACGGGTCACATATGCAGAAAACTCAGAAAAATTTACATAGAGTAATGGAAGGTCACTAATGACATATAGTTTACCAAGAATGCATTTGGGTTTAAATTTTAGCTCTGTGAGTGCAGACCACAATATAAATTCCAGGAGGGGGGTGGGGAGTAATTTGGAAGTTCTATTAGTTATTTTTCTGTCGATATGATAAAAAAAAAAACCTTGACAAAGAACAGCTTATAGAAGAAATCATTTATTCTGGCTTACAGTTCCAGTGGGTATGTGTCCATCATGGCAGGGAGGCGTGGCCGCAGTCAGCTGGAGGTAGAAGTTAGTTGAGCACATTTTAACATCCAGGTAGCAGAGGGGGTGAACTGGAGAGGAGTGGGACTACAAACCCTCAGTCACATACTTCCTCAAGCCAGTGTCCACATCCTGACCCAGCACAACCCACTAGGCACCAAATGTTCCAGTACCTGTGCCTAGGGGACATGTCTCACTTAAACCACTGCAGAGGTTTATGTGGCTACACATTCAAGCTAAGTTTTGTGGAGACCATGGCATCAATAAAGGTTTGGGCTGCATCGGAGAAATATAGCTGGAGGAAGATGGTGACCACTGGTCAAAACATGGCCAGAGTGTTGTCTTCGGCTCCTGTCATCTTTTGTAACAAAAACTTGCTGGGGAGGGGGCGGGGCACATCATGTTTAGGGTAATCAAAAACGTGGCCCATGTCACCTGCAAATCTAAGTCACAAGAAGAGCCAAGTGTTTAAGCCGAACAAAGTAGGCTTAGGACAAGATGGCTACCTCCCACGAATCAAGGGGCTGTTATGTAGAAGAGGACGTTGGAATTATTATGTGGGTTTCTCTAAGAGAAGCAGAAGCCAAGAGCCATGCTGTAGGGCACATAGACTCTGCAGCAGAGGAGGAGAGCCCTGCATCATGCATGCAGAGCAGAGCCTGCATCCAGGGTCAACACAGAGCCGCTGGGAAGCTAGTAAACACCTGCCTTGGGGCAGTCATGAGGGGGAAGCCTGCTCAGTCATCAAGATATTTAGTAATTTTTTTTGCCACATGTTCCAAGATATTATTTAAATTAATTAAAAAAAATCTATAGTTGACAAAATGTCAATATTTGGATAAAGGTCACTATGACAGGCTTCTCCCCGTTTGTCTCAGGCCTCAGGAGGCTCAGCCAAGGAGTGATACACCATGACGTGGCCAGATGCAGAAAGAGTAAGGGGATGTTCCAGAGGGGTGAAAGCTGCACGCTGTGCCTTTTTGTTGGGATCTAAGGCCTTCAGGAAGGTTTTCAGAATTTCCCAGTGTGAGCTTTGGGCCAGAAAGTGGGCATGGAAAAAGGGGAAGCCAGGCTCCAAGATGATATCCAGCCCATAGAGAAGATGGGCACACAGGCAGTCACAGGCCATGGAAAAGGATTTCACTGGTGCTCTTGGAGCACGCCCTCACCCCCTGCATATCCTGCAGCTTTTTTTTTTGGGGGGGGGCGGGGTAGCTGGAGCAAATTCAAGAAAGAAGTGTCTGAGGCAGGTCAAGGAGAAGAGCAGGCTACGAAGGAGATCACAAGAGCAAAGGATTGCAGGGGGACGAGGACCTTGTGCTCAGAAAGAACTGGTGGCATAGCCTGCAATAATGGGGGGCAAAGGTCTGAGGCGGTGGGAAATGAAGCGTGAAGGCACAAGGGACCTAACTACAGACCGTGGCCATGAAAAGCTCTTGTCCTGAATGCCTGCTGTGTTCGCTTCTGCATCTCACTGTTCTGGGAACTTGGGATTTTTTTTTTTCTCCTTCGATACATTCCTCTTAACCTTAATGCCCGTTAGGCCAAACCAGGGTCTTTATCCCATAGACTACTTCGGTGCCAAGATATTCCTCACTCTCCATCAACTCGGAATGACATTTGTTTCAAAATAAACTAGTATGACATTTGTTCTCTGAACGTGGCTGGTTCACCCCGGCTTGTCTCTCTGCAGCTGTATGAGGGTCCGCCCAGTGTCCTGCTGTCCAGCCCCTGCCCCTGTGGGATCATCTCCCCCCACAGCACCGTGAACATTCCACTGGCCTTGGAGACCCAGGTCACTGGTGAACACAGATCCATAGTTTACATCTCCATCTTCGGGAGCCAAGAATCCCCTCTGGTAAGTCAGTTTTCAGAATTGCAGTTGAAGTCACGTGCTCCCTACCATAGTGTTCTTAGCTTCTTCCCTGAAGGCCTGTGTCGTCATTGTCTATCTTCTGGGCTTTGTAGTTACAGGGCTTTGTGTTTTCATTCACAAAACACATGTGAGGTGTTACCTGGGGAACCTGTATGCAGACATCCAAAAGCAATAAGGTAGTGTAGGATTTGTTCCTAGGCCTAACTCAAGTACCACTATTTTCATATGCATGCATACATGTACACACACACACACACACACACACACACACACACACACGGCTGGTGCCTCCCCGTGGTCAGCATGTCGGTATGTTCAACAAATTCCTCAGCTGTTCCCAGAGCAAGTCTGGCCATCGCTTGGTCACCCACAGGCTGCAAGACCAGTTTCATGCCCCACTCTCCAGACCTCCCATACAGCAACCCCATTAACCATCACCCACATTTACCTACTGGAGCTGTTGAGCGTCTCTCCAAGCAAGGAAGGAGAGAATCACTGAAAACCGCTGTTTAGGCTGAACATGTCAATTTTGAGTCTTAATGGAGGTTGTTTGCCTGGGCATTCAGTTTACTTGGAAGCTGGGTAGTGTCCTTTGAGCTCAATCCGATCGCCTACAGAGCACAGCGAGCTAAGTTTTTGCTTTGACAGCTTCTGTGTAAGATGCTACAGGTGGAAAACAGCAGGCCAGCACCCTCCACATTGTGGAGCCATTGTGTACACATGCAGCTGGTGAAGAAGGCAGCTAGTGCTTTTAGGAAAGAAAATCTCCCCCCCCCCCCCAGTTCAGAGTGGCTTTCAACCACCAGCCTGCACAGTTGTGTGCAGTAGCTCTGCAGACTCTCAAAGCTGGGTATCACACAGACTCCAAAGCATGTTACGTTTTCTCGAGACTGAAGGGCTGAGTGGGACGTACTTCTCCAAGAGTCTGATTTTCCTCAGCTTCCAGGGAAGCTGACCATCCCAGGGGGGTGGAGCATTCCCAGCTAGATGAACAGGTCTGACCACAGGTGTTCATCTCAATGTCCCTCTCACCACAGAGAACTAGTGGGAAGGGATGTCAGCTCACACCAGCACCCTTCTGTGCCCCTGCTTTTCTATTAGAGGAGACTAGAAGCTTTTGCTTTCATCCCTTTTAAAGGATAGCCATTTCACCCTGTCCTTTGTTCTTTCTCTTGTGAACTCAGACATGCCATATAAGGAGTATTGGAGAAGGTCCAGTTATCTTCATACATCCCACTCAAATCGATTTTGGCAATATCTACGTGCTGAAGGACACTTCCAGAATTCTCCAGCTATCTAACCAGTCCTTCATCCCTGCATTTTTTCGGGCTCACATGGTAAGTCCCGGGCTATCACAGCTTTGGCTTATGTCCAGTGTCTCTATTTTTTACAACACGTGTTTAAAAATGAGTGCCAGAAGCAGAGATTTGCATGGCTAAGCAGTATGAAACCATGTCGTTCCTATCCTTAATTCTCTTTATTGCAAGCCTCTTGTTAATCAAGAAGCACAATATGCATATCTAGTAAGCAGGCAGATATAATCCCATGTGGGAAGCTATTTCAGAGGCAATCAGCTTCAGCTCTCCCTGATGACACCAGCTCCAAGCCCTATGAAGATCACTGTCTCTATAGGCTCCACTTGGATAGGCGTCTTAGTATGTTTATTCTATTTTTATTCTCCCCTTTCTTCAGAGACTATTTCAATACAATTTAAGAATCTATCAGGGCTAGAGAGATAGTTCCACAGCTAAGAGTCCTTGCTGAGTTAAGTTCCCAATACTGGGTTGAATGGCTAACTCCAGCTCCAGGGGATCCAGCACCCTCTTCTGGCCTCTGCAGGCAACTGCACTCATACACACACACACACACACACACACACACACACACACACACACACACACTTAGAAATAAAATAAATCTTATAGGGAAGTATCATATACAAGATACTATATGTCAAAAATGGAAATTAAAGAAAATGAGTCAAAGTATATGTGTTAAAATGTATATGTCTCAGACCTGCATATCACATAACTATATTTTAGATATGCTAGCCACCTACAAGCTCTTATCTGTTTATTTATTGGAGTTGTTTTCTTTATTTGTGCATTTGTTAGGTTCAGTTTTGTCTGGTTTTTGCTGAGTTTAGGAATTTCTATTCTAGTAGTTAAAAGTACCATTAATTAAAAAACTGGGTTTCCAAACTTAAACATAAAATTATAACTGGTATGTCTTTCCTCCTATCTCCAAACTATTGTCACCTGAGTAAGAGTTGCCATTTCACATAAACATTTGTAAGATATTTCTGAAGAATCAAGTATTATTAATTTTATAGCAAGCACTATTGAAAAGAATAGAATTATCCCTTTCTCCTGACTGAAAACAGCTCACTAGATATTGGTCTCAGTTAGCAGCCTTTATTCATCACCATGAATAAATAATGATTCATTTTTATCATCATTTTTCCTTATTTTTTTTGTCAAGGCATTTTCACATTCAGCCATTGCTTTTTTCAACATGAAGCACTAAGATCCAGATTTTTATCTAATTATTTGTAAATTTTCTCTAATTTATTCTAAATTATTTAATAATTTTTAGAATCCAAAAAGGTTTATTGAGTGGAGATGGAGAGAAAGAGAAAAGGAGAGAGAGAGAGACATAGTGGGGGGAGAGGGTACCCCCACATTATTTAATAATTGATAGAGGAAAGTTCTGGTGAGAAAAACACCTGCTACTATTTATCCAATTAACTCACAGCTGCATTTGGTAGAAATCGTGAAGTTTTGCTGGGGAAATGTTGCTTCCTGGTCCAATATGAAATTGACCCTAGAAAAAGGGGTCAGTGACCCAGCTAGGACCTATGGGTGGATTCTGAAGGCCTGACGGTAACAGAAGGAAGACACAAGCAACCCAGAGAAGCTTCAGAACATACTTATCACCAGTTTCCTCCCATTCACCAATCTCTCTAAAGTTTACTTTTTTCCAAAAAGTTTTAGTGGTGGTGGTGATGGTCTGTGTGTGCACATGCGTGCAAGTGCCTGAAAAAGCTATAAATAAACACCAGGTCCCCTGGAGCTGGAGTAACAGGTGGTTGTGAGCCACCAAAAGTGGGTGCTGGCAACTCAGGTCTTTGCAAGGGCAGCACATGCTCCTAACCACTGGGCCATCCCTCCAGCCCCCAGATTTCACTTTTGATGGCAATTTTTGGTATATTTCAACACCCAGAGAGCACATCAAGGATTTTTTTTTATTATTAATATAAAGTATATAGTGAATGACCCAACTAGCTTGCTAAAATAGCACCTTTTCCTTCCCCACAAAGATTTTATGATCCCGTGTCTCAGCTGTCTAATATGTCTTACATCAGAGCCAAGGATGTTATACAAGCAGAACACTGCCTCCTTCTGCTCCTGGACACCGGTGCTGGTTCTGTTTTGGCAAGTCTGAAGCAGTCTCGACAGAAGTTATCATAGATGAAAAGTAAACTCCTCTCATGTGGTAGCTAGGGCTTTGTGCACTTCCTGATAAATGTGTATTAACATTACAGAAATGGAATTCTTAGCCTGCCGAGCCTTAGGAAAGAGCCTCAACTAATAGTTGCTTGCTCCCTCACCAAGCCTGCTGCAGACTCAGGAGCCCCACGGTCTCTTTTTGCTAGCTGTCCTGGAAGGAGGAGTCATTCTCTCTCTTCTCCTGACTGTCAGAAAATGTCATCCTTCCCCGATACTCCCTGCTGTCAGCCGTCTGCCAGGATCTGCTTCATGCGGGGCCACACGCATCATGGCTGCTGCTATGATTAAATTCTCCCTTTGCAAGAAACATACAGCAGGAGGGGTCAGAAGATGGGAAATGGACAGCCCTCCATCAAGGTGGTGTCAGGAAGATCAATGACAGTTTAGAGAAATTTTTAATGTCTCAGAAATAGACTTTAAAAAGGTGTAAAAAAATAAAAAGACCTCTTTATAGAGTTTTGAATGAAAAAATGCATAGTATATGTGTATATATACAGATATATCTATGTAAAATCCTGTGCGTAGATCTCTATGAATACCCACTGTATTGTTTTATTTCTGTTGCTAAAATACTCCGAGAAAAGCACCGAAGTGGAGAAAGAATTTATTTTGGCTTGCAGTTCCACAGCATTAGAGTCTGCCTTGGTGACAACGACATGACGACGGGTGGGGAGCGAGCAATAACAGGAGCAGTGAACTTCCTGATCTTGTTGCTCACAGGAAGTAGAGGATCTGATAGCCAGTGAGATCCACCTCCCAAAGGCTCCTTCCCAAAAAGCAGTACCAGCTCAAGTGTTCACACACAGGACTATGTGCGAGGAGACTGCATGTTCAAAACACATTTGGAATACCAACATGCTCTGAGGACAGACAGTCGGGGAGGAGTCTTATCTGGGGCAATAGAGTAGAATGAACGGCCTCAGGTTTTAAAGGATAAAACTTTCTGAAACGTGAGACTGTCCAGTGTGGGAAGGCTTTTCAGATAGACAGAGCTAGGTTGGGAAGCTAGAGTCCTTGTCCTCTTGGAGCAGCGGAAATGGAGTAAGCCTGGGGAAGCGTCCCAGGACCCCGAGGACATCGGCCGTCATCTAGAGGACACATGCCTTCTCTTCACGGGTGTCCCTGGCTGGGAAGAACAAGGGCATCGCTTAGCATTTGCATGGAAGCATCTGGAATCCTTTCCCGTACACGCCTGACTCTAATTTGGCTACAGTTAGTGGAAAGCCTTCTGTTCAGGTGTCAGTAGGACCCTGGCAGTCAGCTGGCGGGCAGATGTCTTGGCGGCAGCCTTCTTTGCCTCTGTGACTCAAGTGAGAAGCCATTGTGGTCTGATCTGGAAAGTTCCTGGAAAGGAATTTACTGATGCCTCATTCAAGCATGGTTCTTAGAAAACATTTCTTTTTGTTGTCTGCCCGTTGAGCCGCCACACGGATGCAGCAGAGGAGACCTGGCTGCTTGCATCTCAGACCTCCAGAGACTGGGCTGTTCCCTCACCTCAGCAGGGCCATCTTTTCTTCTCTCGTTTCTTTATGTCTCCTTCCAACGGTGCAGTCTCCACACGTCTTTTCCAGCACCTAGCGACAGGTGTGGTAGAAATAAGTGGCAATCTGGTGGTTCCATCCCAGACCCATGACCTTTCTCACTAAGATTCTGTACTGTATCACTTTGCCTGATCAGGCAGCGAACATCAAAATGGCGAAGAGATTTTAGGTTTTTTTTGTTCATAAGAGAATAGATATTATCCTGGACAGTGCTATTTCCTTGCACTCTGCTCAGAGACAACCAGGTAGTGAATTTAATGTGTATCCAAGACATGCTTTTATATTAGTGCATAATATTTATAAATACCGTATAATTTTTTTTTGCTTTAGAAGTGTTATCTAACTCAAGGGACTGTATGTGACACCTTGTAATTTATTGTTTAGACTCACTTATATTCCAGAGGCTCTCCATGCTTCTGCTCATACGTCTGTTTGCTCAGCTTAGCTGCTGTGCGTATTCGGTTTACTGATAATACGATTATCCCCTTTCCTACAAGCTGACAGTTGGGTTATTGTAACAGCCCGACAGTGAACAAAATCCTTGTCGTTTTGTACATGTAAGTGACAACTTGGGGTTTATGCAGAGTGGACAAATACCTCGTTGTGCAATTGTTGGGTCTAAAGCAATGATATCAAAAGTGTGTTCTTCCAGAAGCTTTGAGCTTTCTCTCTAACACACAGAACTTACTGTAGTCAGACTCTGAAGCCCTTGCCAGCATGAGCCTGAAGTGGTGTGTCACTGCAGTTTCCATTCGTATTCCTTTGTTACCATTGAGGTTCTGAATTTTTTTATTTCAGAATCCTCTGATGTCAATTATCTATTACAAATTATCTATTTTTAGATGTTAGTTATTGTGTATGCTGATCCATTGTTTACAATGGGGCTTTGTATTCTTTCAAAATTGCTTTTAGTTTTTTACTTTTTAAAAATTTATATATATATATATATTTTATATATATATAAATATATATATATTTTAATTCTTTATTAGTTACACTTTATTCACTTTGTATCCCACCTGTAGTTCCCTCCCTCCTCCCATCCCAGTCTCTCCCTTCCTCCACCCTCTGCATGCATGCCCTTCCCCAAGTCCACTGATAAGGGAGGTCTTCTTTTCCTTCCTTCTGATCCTAGTCAATTAGGTCTCATCAGGAGTGGCTGCATTGTTTTCCTCTGTGGCCTGGTAAGGCTGCTTCCCCCTCAGGGGGAGGTGATCAAAGAGCAGGCCAATCAGTTCATGTGAGAGACAGTTCCTGTTCTCATTACTAGGGAACCCACTTGAGCTGCCATGGGCTACATCTCTGCAGGGGTTCTAGGAGTTCTAGGTTATCTCCATGCTTGGTCCTTGGTTCGAGTATCAGTCTCAGAAAAGACCCCTGTACCAAGAACTTTTTGATCTGTTGCTCTCCTTGTGGAGACCCTCCAGGTCTTTCTATCTCCCCCTTCTTTCATAAGATTCCCTGCACTCTTCCCAAAGTTTGGCTTTGCGTCTCAGCATTCAAAGATGCTTTTAGTTTTTATCTCAACTTTGACCCCCCCCTTTTTTTCCTGAGGCTGACAGCACAGCCTCATCCTCATATAACAAGTATTACAAGGAATAGCTAAACAATGTTGTCTCTTTGTTTATTTTACTTTAATCCATCTAAGTAGATACTTAGTATAGTTTACAAGTAATACCTATTTTAACATGAAGAAAGGCACACACATACATAAATACACACATACCCACACATATAACCCATACCGTACACACAGAGAAGAGACACCCCATACCCCCACACATACAACCCATACACATACACACATATACATACATACACACAAACATATACACATATATGCACTGATATATATATATATATATATATATATATATATATACATACATACATACTTATATACACACATCCACACAGAGACATACATATTCACACTGAATATGCTACTAGAATTTTTCTTGTACTATCCTATACGGTATTTTTATTTCTTGCTCATACTTTCTGCTCTTTGTCTCAGTGGTATGCTCCACATTACAAATTCTGGCTTTGGTTTTTGGCAAGTCTGAGACTTATCCCATCTCTACACTTTTAATTTAACTTCAGAGACTGTATTTTTCACTTCCAAGAGTTCTAACTGGTTATTTATAAATGCTTGTTCTTGATCCTGGCCTCCCTGTCCTCACAGGCTTTGTTTTGGTTGTATTATCCTATTCTTCGGCTCTCTTGAGGATCTCGGGTGCACTTTCTAATCCATTTCAGTCGGCACTATTGATTGTTCAGGAGTGAATTAATTGCCTGATTGTCTGCAGCTGTTCTTCCAGATGTTCAGCCTCTTAAATGATGTCAGTCTGGCATGGAGTACATTTTGTCTGATTCTTAGTGCCCAAGCCTCCCTTTCTAACAGTTTCATATTTGCCTTCACTCTCAAGGGCAATCAGATCTTGTGCCTGCCCTCCCATGGAGATACTGGAAAAGTCAGTTTCCTGGTGTGAGCTTGATGGTGGCCTGGCCCACAGTCTAGCTGCCTGACAGTCTCCATGCCTCTATCAGGTCCTGTCCTGGAGCACAAGCATGTGCAGGCTGTACTGTCAGGAACATCACAGCTTTTCCGCCACTCACAGAGAAGCTGCCTTTCCAGAGGCTTCGGCCCACATCCTGTCCTGTTTTGTTTTCTTTTGATTTCTAGTTTTCTTCAGTCTGCCTCTACGAATGTTAGGAGTCTAGATCCTTGTAGGTTTGTGGCTCTTAACCCCTCATTATTTCTGTTCCATGTATGAGTCATATGATGTTAACTTGGTTTTGAATACAACCATGCTTAGCTTTTCTTTTCTTCAAAAATTTATCTCATCTTTTGATGGGTTAGAGTGAAAGAAATTTTTTAAACTTAAGCTCATTGACTGACAGCGTGTCCTCTTAATCTTTGTTTTAGCCCTTTGTAGGTGCTAATACACAATCATTACAAGAGAAAGAATATGTCTTCAGTGGAAATAAGAAATCAGAGGGTCTGAGGTGCTTTTTTTGTTTTATTTTGTTTTGTTGGTCTTGACTTTTAATATTTGAAAAAAAAAACTATTTTAAAAAACACTAGGAATAAAGGGACAGGAAGAGAACAAAATTCTATCCTATTAGGAGCATCTTTTTTTTTTTTTTTTCCAAATAAACATTATGGTCATTCCAGCATGACTTGAGTGCCTCCTGAGCCATCCCTAAGTGACCCATTAGGTGGCGAGAGGATGTCAGTGGCCACAAGCTTGAGAGTTCTGGAAGCAAAGGTTTATGCTTTACAGAGAACAGTGAGCTTCTCACCCCTGCCCGACCCCACCTGAGACCTCTTTCACTTTGGCAGAGCTAAAAGAAGACAGAGTCCACCAGGTCACACTGATTATATAAACCACGCTGACAGAAGGAAAGCTATTGATTAAATATCAGGTAACATCTTGGGTCAGCACCTTCCCTGAGTCTAGAATGACAGCTCTACTGGTCAAATATGGTTAGTTTAGTATGAATTAAAACCAAAATGAAAGAAGGGCATTTGGAAATGAAAAAGAGCTGTCCAAAAAAAAAAAAATCTTTGTTGGCATGCTTGTCCACCTCCATTCCTTGTCCTGACTTCTAATCAGTTTTGGATAATTGCTTTCTCTGCTAATTACTATTCAGGCAGGCAGTTATGGCAGCAATCATCCAGAGGAAACATGAGGTCCATTTTGTTTTCCTCCTTTACCTCACCTTTTCCTTCTCCACGAGAATGTTTAACTTCTTCCCCATCAGCAGCAGCAGCAGCAGCCCAACTCATGTCACATTTAAGAGAAGGCTCTTGCTGTCCTCAACGGCTAAAGGGTTTACTCCTCTCATTCTGTCCCTGTGTGTAATTAAAAAGAAAGAAAGAAAATGTTACAAGTATGTGTGCTGTGGACTCCTCAGGGCCTTTCCAGTGAGACTTCCATCAGGAAGAAAGTCACAGTCTTCTTCAGTTCCGTTTCTTCCCCTCTGCCACAAGTAGGAAAACAGAGACTGGACAGATGTGTTTGTCATGGCAGAATTGTCGTAGGATCTCGTTTGGAGTATTTGTTCTGTAAATAGCAGCTGCTAGATATTGCTGTACACACACTAAATTGCATGCTTTGGAGGAGAAAAGAAACCCGTCTCTCGGTGACGGCACATTAAGCCAGCGTCTGGCAGGGATGACACTACCTAGGGCCAGCAGGGTCACGTGCCATGTATGGTGGCTTTATGCATGTGGCGGTCACTCGGAAGAGCCGTACGGTGTATATCAAGGAATCGAGTCCTGATTCACATAGTGGCGACAGTATTCAACCCCTTTGAGATTTTGATTCTTTCTCTTTCATTGTAACAACGGCAGTGGTATCTAGAAGACTGTGCAGGAATACACAGAGAAAGAACATGTTGAAAAAGTCAGAATCTGGTAAATGGTAGCTTTGATTGCTATCTGACAGACAAGAAGTGCCAGGGGAAACAGCTTGCGGAAAGAGAAATATTTTCTGGTATTGTGTCTGAAGGTCTTGTATTTGTCTTTCCTTGAAAAGAAAAAGAGGTGAGGGACAGCAAAAGAGTCCCTGAGGCTCTGAGTCAGCTGACATCATCATGTGAGCTCTGTAGAACAGAGGCTCTGATGCTGCCTTTTCCTCACTCCTCGCTCTTCTCTCTAAATTTTTGTCAGTGGAGTCATCTTGTGAAACACTTTAGAGCATCCTTTCATATCAGAAACAAATGGACTTCTTAGCAGATAACTATTCAGAAATGCTAGGCTCATCTGTTCTCTGCCTCTCTTTCTCTACAGGACTTCCTTCCCTGCACAACTCCCCCCAAACTATGCAATGTGCGTGCGTGTGTGTATGTGTGTGTGTGTGTGTGTGTGTGTGTGTGTGTGTGTGTGTGTGCTCAGGAGCCATCCTGTTTCCTTGTGTTTAACTCCCTGTGTTTGAGCTGATGCCTTTCACTGAATCTTAAGAAGGCAGTGGCATTCAAAAGGACAATGTGGCCTTTTAGCACCAGGTTACTGTCCATGTTACTTGAGAACACTGGAAATTGCATAGACTTAGTACAATGTCAGTTGGCCTTCTAATTCCCACAGCTCCTCCACCCCCAACAGGTACAGTCATGGCTTGAGTGACAGGGACTCTCATCTCAGCTACCAAATCTCTCCCAGTAGCCCATTTCCCCACATGAAGAGGGAGAAAAGCTCAACAACATAAGAAAATCATGTCAGGGAGGGGGCATGGGTGGGGGAGCAACCAACACAAAAGGAAAAGGAAACTGAGGGAAATGAGCCCCCCACTGACGATAGGAGAGGTTGGGAAGCTGAAAGCAGCTTTCAAAAGACTTACATTCTAGTGGGATAAACACTGATGGAAGAAAAACTCCAGTCAAACTCCTAGTCTGATACACCCATCAGAATGGCTAAGATGAAAGAGTCAAGCGAAAACACATGCTGGAGAGGATGCAGAGAAAGGGGAACCCTCCTCCATTGCTGGTGGGAATGTAAACTTGTACAACCACTTTGGAAATCAATCTGGTGCTTTCTCAGACAATTAGGAATAGCACTTCCTCAAGATCCAGCTATACCACTCCTAGGCATATATCCAAAAGATGCTCAATTACTCAACAAGGGCATTTGCTCAACCATTTTTGTAGCAGCTTTATTCGTAATAGCCAGGACCTGGACACAACCCCATTGTCCCTAAGTTGAGAAATGGATACAGAAATTGTGGTACATTTACACAATAGAATAGTACTCAGCAATTAAAAACAAGGAAATCATGAAATTTGCAGGCAAATGGTGAGATCTAAAAAAGATCATCCTGAGTGAGGTATCCCAGAAGCAGAAAGACACCCACAGTATATACTCACTTATAACTGAATATTAGACATATAATATAGGATAAACATACTAAAATCTGTACACCTAAAGAAGCTAAGCAGGAAGGAGGACCCTGGGTAACATGCTCAATCCTCATTTAGAAAGGCAAAGGGGATGGACATCAGAGGAGGGAGAAAACAGGAAACAGGACAGGAGTCTACCAGAGAGGGGCTCTGAAAGGCTCTACCCTGCAGGGTGTCAAAGCAGATGCTGAGACTCATAGCCAAATTTTGGGCAGAGTTCAGGGAATCTTATGAAAGAAGGCAGAGATAGAAAGACCTGGAGGGGACAGGAGCTCCACAAGGAGAGCAACAGAACCAAAAAAATCTGGGCACAGGGGTCTTTTGTGAGACTGATACTCTAAGCAAGGACCATTCATGGAGATAATCTAGAACCCCTGCACAGATGTAGCCCATGGCAGCTTAGTGTCCAAATGGGTTTCCCTGATAATGGGAACAGGGACTGTCTCTGACATGAACTCAGTGGACTGCTCTTTGATCACCTCCCCTGAGTGGGGAGCATCCTTACCAAGCCACAGAGGAGGACAATGCAGCCAGTCCTGATGAGACCTGATAGGCTAAGGGTCAAATGGAAGGGGAGGAAGACCTCCCTATCAGTGGACTGGGGGAGGGGCATGGGTGGAGAAGAGGGAGGGAGGGTAGGATTGGGAGGGGTCCAGGGAGGGGGCTATAGGTGGGATACACAGTGAATAAACTGTAATTAATAAAATTTTTTAAAACTGTAAACACATACACACACACACACACAAACTCCTAGGCTGTGAGCTGAGCTTCAGAAGTTTGTACACTTGCCCCGACTTCCCTCAGTGAGCTGGGTGATAGGTGTCTCTGGGAGGGATTTGTCTCTGAGAAGGGAAACTGGTAGGAAGTCGTTTAAGAGCCCATCCCCTGCGCTCAGCTGTGCATCGGTGGATGAGCCTCTGCTTGCTAGGTTGAAAACCTATGTGAAAAAAGGTGATTCTTCCTAGGCTCATGAAGAGTGTAGTTAAAAGAACCATAACCATAACATATGCTCAGACTCAGCTGCGAATGGTGATGGATTGGTCTAGGTGCAAAATATTTTCTCACCATGAAGCCATCTCTGCTGGGAGGATGGAGAGAAGAAAGTGAGAGAGAAGCATGGTGAGAGAGTAGAACCATCCTCACCCTCACAGAGAGAACGAGCTAGATGATATCCAAACTTTAGCTCCAACAGATTCCCCAGACAAAAAGGGATGTTTCTTATAGTCATAAAATGTATCTGAAAAGATATACGAAATTACTAACAATGGCCACCTCCGGGGATGAAGGCCAGTAACTTCCCATGTGTAGAAAGGAGGGAGGGAGGGAATTAAGGAAGGAAGGAAGGAGGGAGAACAGGATCTAGAGAGATAAAATGACTGGGAAAGAACTCATGGGTAAAGTTTTTACCCAGCATGCACAAGGCCCTGGCTCCCAGCTCTGAAACCTGGAGAGACAGACAGAGAACCACTGTATTGTTTTAGGAGACACTTACTCACTGAAGCGTGTGCCACCCTTGTCCTGTTTTTACACAAATAATATCCTTCTAGAGCAAACACCTGAAGATGACCCCTGTGCAGATGACCACTGCGAAATTTTTGGTGTTCACTTTCCCCCTGAGGCCTATGTACCTGTCCCCAACCCCAACCCCTGCCCCACAACACTCACTCCTCCACTCCCTCCACTCATGGGATAACAGCATTTTTGTTGCCAGATGTTTTCACTCAAGATATCATCACTCAGAAAATCAGTTTAGATCCAGACCCGCACCAGATACTGCCTCCCACCCTCTTACCAACGCTGTTATTTCTGCCAAATCCAGCAGATTTACTTTTAACATTCATTTTAAGTTTGTGTTTCTTCGGCTTTCCAGCGAGACAGGACATTTTTCATATATTTGTTGACCATGAAGTAAATACTATTTTTGAGCCCTGACCCGTTGCCAGCACTCTGATGACCGAGGGGAGAAACAAAATGGAAATAGAATGGCTCATTTCTTCACAATCGCACAGAAGAGACGAGCCCGCAAGCAACACAGCCAGATGATAAAAATGTAAGCACAGAGAAGGAATTGACCCATTCTTCTGTCAAAGGAAAAGAAGTCAGAAGATTTGAGTGGAAACTTGAAAGCTAGCCACCAGGAAGACAGAAATGGGCATTTATGTGCAATGATGGTGCTTGGTACATTTGGGAGGGCCAGGTGGCCTTTTGCCCTGGACAGCAAGTCTAGAAAAGGCATTGGTGACCTCTTAGTCAAGCTTGGCCTAGAGTCTCCAGACCAGAGGCCATATGTAGTGTAGCAGACCTGTCTATGAGCCACCATGTGGCTGAGGGCCTGAGCGACATCACAGAAGGACCTAAGTCACATTAAGATCCACCCCAAACTATGAAGTTCCCAGTCATTAAAAAAAAAAAAAAAAAAAAGCTGGGCGTGGTGGTGCTCAGGGAAGCAAATGGAAGGCAGATCTCTGTGAATTTGAGGCCAGCCTGGTCTACAAATCAAATCCAGGACAGCCAGGGTTACACAGAGAAACCCTGGAGAGAGAGAGAGAGAGAGAGAGAGAGAGAGAGAGAGAGAGAGAGGCTTAGACATGGACCAAACAGAACAAAATATGGCAAAGCTTGACCACATTTGCAGTTAGTGTGCTCTGAAGCATGCATGAAAAGCTTTGGGCGAGTTGGGGTAATTTTTATGGAATGAGACTCATAGATGTCTGAAAGAGGCTCAGGGCGCTGATCCAGACAGTAAGGAGCCATTCCAGAATCTTCTGTAAGAGAAGACCAGGCTCAGGTCTGTATGGAGTAGCCCTGTCAGTGCCATGGATTGGGGTGCACAAAAACCTGGGTGAAAAGGTTTAGAAAGTAACATGAATAAGGCCCGCTACTTCCTGAGAGGGTGTGAGATGTCTGGTACCCATTTTATTTAATCCTCAGATAGCACACTCAAACCAAATGGGATGGCATACACCTGCAATCCCAGGGGCCGTGTGTTTCAAGGCATTCCTGGTTG